GGTAGTTCCGTGTGCTGTTCCAAAAGAGTCAATTTGCTTTTATTGCCAAGAGAAGGGGAATTAGAGACGAAGCTGCCCTGTCTACCTGAGAGATCTAAGAGATGGGAGAGTCAAGACGTATGGCTCTACTTCAGGTAAAATCCATTAACTAACTCTATAAGTTCCTATTTTTGATTATTGATACATTATGTGATAAGATTACATTTGATGTTTTGTAGGATCGAAGAAAAGAGAAGAAGCTTAAAGGAAGAAGTGAGCTGAGTCTGATCGTGAAGAAATGGATTTCGATCGCATGGATTCGAAGATCGGATTTTTAAGCTGCTACTTTTAGAGTTATGATAGATTGCTTAGGAATATATAATAGTGTAGTTTTTCATTTGAATTGCATTGTAAGGACAAGTTTTTCCGCACCTTTTATAAATAAAATAAATTTTGGTTTTTTCATATTTATATATTTCCTTACAATGGCATGTATGAAAAATTGACGTTTGTATATTTCTAGTTTTAGCAATGTTGAAATGGATATGATTCTTAGTTATATTATTTGTGGTAATGTCGAGAATTTACCAAATAAGGAGACAGAAACTTGGAATCGTACAACCTGTATGGTATGATGAATGAGAACCTTCATATTTGGAAAATTAAGACTAATTCCTTGACAAAGAGTCAAGTGAAGGACTAGGAGAACTAGTACACAATGTTGTGAACTAGTCAAATCCACCACAAAGAACAATAACATTATTCGTCATGATTTACTAAAAGTCTAGTAAAGGTGATTATACTTACAAGATTATGTGTAATTCTGAATCATTGAAAAGTTTCAATGTATGGCAGAATGAATAAGAAGAATTAATTAGGCAGAAAGATAAAAAGTTTCTCCAATCTAAGAAGAAGGGAGAGTACTTTTGTATCGTATTTTATGATCATCTTGTTGATTGTAAAACCACATCACAATTAATCCTCTAAGGACAACTTAGTGCACTAGTATGACTAAGAAGAGGAATCAAAAATTGTTGAAATGGTTAAATCAAAAGGATGAGTCATACTTCATTCAAAAATCAAGTCTTAGAATCGTACTCCAAGATTGTGAATTGAGTGACACATCTTAAGAAGTTCTAACAAACTCTTCAAATGTGAAGTAGAAATTTTTTTTTACTTACTCTTGCACGTTTGAAATTGGTAAATTGTGATGTCTTGGATAAGACAAAGACCAACTAATACCAATTGTGTATAGTGTTTGTCTTGATAAAAATCCGCACTAACTCTCGCATCTTTGTTTGTCAAGAAATGTTTTCTTGACAAGAGAATCTCATATGTCAAGAGGTTAGTGGGATTTTAAACGATGTTGAAAAGTTTCAAGAACTAATCAAGAGTAAACCTATTATTAAACACTAGCACACAACTTGAGGTTTGTAACTTATCGTGTTGACGTATTCTTGTTTCTGTGCCATTCCGGTTTAGTAAACTATGCATATGAGTTCTACAAGTTCTCAATAGACTGCATAAGGCAAGCACCTTGTTCAATGAAAGTACATTGACTAGTATAGGTGAGCTGCTGAATAACTTGGAAGCAATGGTGGGACCCTTAATGGCAAGAAATCAAGTATGAACAAGTTATGTCCATATGAGTTTGGATTTGTCACAAACATTATCTTATGATTATGGTTATGACAAATTCGCATGGATAGGAACACATACACCATAAAATCTAAGTGTCATAAGATTTCTCTCCTTCATGAAAATGATTGTGAGGAAACGCTTTCACTAATAGAGATTTTAAGAAGATAGCGATTATGTAAATTGCATTCTCAAATTCGATTATGATTACGGCATCCCTCTTCACAGTTCGAATTGCGAGATTTGGCGATTCGTCTGAACATTCAGAACTTAGTAATATAAGTTCTGAATTAGTTTAGACACACATGTGAGATGTCTAAGGAAAGGTGTATGAGTTTGAGAAGCTTAGATAAAGGCTTATCGAAGTATATTGTATTAGAAAAGATGAACTTTAGAAGTCAATAAGTATTGTTTTCTAGAAGTTTAACTGGTTTTTGAATACGTGTCAAAGCTAATTGGAGCATAAATGTTATGCTGGAATGGATATAATCATCATGATAGTGGGAGCATGATTATTATTTTAAGTGTTGCAGGTTGGCAATATTAATTATAGAAAACAGAAGTTTCACTTTGCAAAGTTGCAGGGGTTGAAAAGTTGTTTTGCTATAATTAAGGGAGAGAATGTTATACTTCGTTTCGAATCTAAAAGCTTAGATCGAGAAATTTTAATCAAATGTAGTCAAGGATATATTAACTGCATTCTCAAAATTCAATTATGATTACGACATTCCTCTTCATAGTTCGAATTGTGAGAACGTGGCAAATAGAAATATTATGGCAAATGGTTGATAAAGTATCATGCGTTTATGTAAGACATTATGAATCGTGTCCCATATGCTTCTCGTATAGGATTGATTGCATATGCTGTAATATTTGACCGTTCTAAAATTTTCCAAATGTCTAGGGCATTAAGAGGGAAAAAGCGACTAGAACTGGATTTGACTAAAATAATTTAACAACTGTCAAGGACAATCTAAGGTTCGCCAAGGATTGGTCGCTTGTGAGTAGTTGGAAGTATACTAATGGATGGACCATATTAACATTATTATGAATAGACGAGATTCTATTTAGAATGAGTTGTCATATGACAAATATGGAAATGTTTCCATATTCGGAGTTGAATGTTAAGAATTTGTGTGTAGATTAGAAACTTTTATGCAAGAAGGATGTTCAAAGGAATGTACTTTGAATGTGAGACTTCACATCTATGGGATTGTCGTGTAACAATCCCCAATAGAGCACTTTGTAATTTCATTGGCCGAGTCTTGGTAACTTTTTTGCCGTGACATTACGAAAGGATTGTTGCATAAAATGTTAGAATCTAACATATTCTAGTAGTGGCGAGAATCTGTATTCTTACACTAATGATGAAATTGTGAAATGAGCATCATTGGAAATGTTTTCATTTGATTTGTTTCACAAAGTAAGGACCATAGGTAAACATAGTGTGCATGCTTGGTGCATGGGACAACTATTGTTATAATTCAAGTAAGAAGTTGATTACCTGAAACAACAAATAATGAGTAATCAATATGGTGATTAAATAAAAGGTGTTTTATTTATGCTCAAAAGTTTGGGGCCATATAGGATTAGTATTATTCTTATGTTTCACTTTGCATGTTTTGACTTCCCGAATAATAAGATTATTCAAATCCTCCAGAGTCGCTCATACTTTGGAAGTAGGTATGAATGAAGACTGTCATGAATCCGTCTGTAGATTGTCTAAAATGTTTAGACATAGCACAAGTTTGTTACGGAGTTCATGAGTGCTGCAATAAGATTAGAGTATTGGATTAAACCCACGCTCACTTGGATCGCTTCATGGATTTTATCACGAGTGATTGGTGAGACGATAATATCTTATATTCTTGAAACCGAGATGTGTAAGTTGTATTCTGTAAGTCGGTTGCACATTGATAATATGTAAACGCACCAGTAACTTGGTGTTATAAAACATATTGTTGTGTGTGATTTGATGAGTAGTTACATGCGAGCATTGAGTCGAAGTTTATCCGTTCCTTTTACCCAAAGTGGGATAAAAGCGATATCTGTGGGCCCCTCGATGATTTAGTGATGACACCCTAAGCGCTTGGCCAAGCCGGGACTAAGTTGATGTGTTCAACTATAGTCTGTTGTCAGTCGTCATAAATCGGAAATCGGGAAACAACACGTGAACAGAGAGTATGATTAAAATCCATGTCTCAGTTCATACGATATCTAGATTGGAGGAATATATGATCCCTTATCTAAAGGACATGTTACTGATAAGATCAGAGTTCGACAGCGTCTTTGAGAGCTACGATTGCTAATCGGATTGTACTTGCATTTATAGTTACTAGACTTATCCAAGTGCGAGACTGTTGGATTAGTGTCTAAGCCCGTAACCATATTTGGTAAATACTTGACCCGGTTGTGCATGGTCCTTTTGCGTTGCCTTCGCCAAAGTAACTTGACTGGAGAAATAATAGAGAAAGAAGCTATTATAGTTTATTAATATATTATATGAATAATATATTAAAATAGAAATCATATTTATTTAGTTAACATTGGTCAAGAATTAATTAAGAATTAATTTTGTGACAAAAAGAAGTTAATTGAACTAGGGGGACTGAACTGTAATTATGTGATAGTTGCAAAGTAGGGCAAAGGATGCCCTATATGATAGGGTGGACGAATTCAAGGGTATAAGGCCTTAGAATTCGTCCATGATAAGGTTTCTAGGGTTATCCTTTGGGCTGCTTGGTGGCTAAGCAACCAGATAAGGATAAGGACTGAAACCCTAATTCCTACACCTATATAAAGATCCATTGGCATAAGAAATTCGGTGACTTGATACCTAGGGTTCCTAGAGTCGAATTTTATACCTCCCATCTCTCTCTCTCTCTCTCTTGCCTCTCCATTTGCTCTTGGTGTTTGTGAGCCATTAGACGTACTACGCTTATGGTACTTGCTTTCAAAGACAAGAAGATTCAAGATACAAGTTGTTATTACAACATAACAACAAGAGGTATGTATTTCATTCTCCTTTATGATTTTCGAAATTACCTAGGATCATGTTAGGTTTCTTTTGTGTTCATAATGTTGTATAAATAATAGTGAAAACATAGATCCGTATCTAGGGTTGCATGCACACATAGGATTGTTTGTATAAAACCCATCAGTCTCTACCCTCAACTCTTTATTTTTATGATTTTGATCGTACTATATGTTATTGTATGCATCAATATTTCCCTCGGACAAAATCCAGACAACAATCATAGAAATTTTGATAAGTTATTCACCTGCGTCTATACGCTCCTATGAATAATGCATCATTGTGCATTCAATATAGTAGACATATAAACCAACCGTATATATGTATCTCGTTTTTTCTACAATAACCACTAAAGTTTGTGCAAAGTCAGTTGAGCACCAAACTGAGGTTGCAAAGTGATGATAGTATGTGGAGCATGCACATATGATGAGGAAAGCTCGAACGAGAAGCTTCTTAAAATCATAACAAGTGCCAATTTTGCTTCCAACATAGCAAAGTTTTGCCCGATACATATACGTGGACCCCCTCCAAAAGGGAAGTATGATGCTTGTTCATTTGTTGCCTTTGACACACCTTCTGCAAATCTCTCAGGCTTGAACTCGTGCACATCATCACCCATGTATCACTATCATGATGTAAAAGCATCATGTGCAAGTAGAGGAGTGAACCGGTTGGTAATGTTATATTTCCTAATGTAGTTTCTCCATGAATCATCCGCTCCAATACTATACCCGCTGGGTATAACCTAAGTACCTCGTGCAAAATCATATTGATCTGCAAATAAATAATTAGTATACACCAAAAATATGATTCTTCTCAACAACAATAATAAAAAATGTGATCATGTTTTTCTTCATTTATTGTGAATGGCTTTTGATAAAACCTCAAAAACCCATAAGTGAGGTCTCGAGTTCAAAAATGGGCATCACCTTCTTGAATCTTGTTCTATAAGATAGTGTGATTGGCCTACATATTTTTTTAACACCATGGTATAAAAATACTAGTAATTATTACAGTATGATTCTATTTAGTTAATACACAGTTTGATAAATCCAAGCCAAGCACTAGAGATATTACTTACAATTTTTAGGTGACTTAATCCATCAAAATCTGGTTTTCTTTCTCCAAGCACCTTTAAAACTTCATCTCTAGCACGATCTTGCCAATTTGTATGTTGACCTAACAAAATCATTGTCCAAATAAGCAAGTTTGCAGTAGTTTCTTGTCCTGCAAAATAAAAGAGTTTGCACTCTTCGATGACTTCATCAATACTCAACCCAAAATTTTTATCCCCTTGTTGTTTGATCTCTTTGTAGTTCGAATCCAATAATATGCCCAATAAATCATCGCTACTACTTTCCCCAGCTTTCATTGCTACCACTCGTTTACTAATAATGTTCTTTATTGATCCCTTTATTTCTCGGTCAATCTCTATCATCCTTCTATTGCTCTTTGTAGGCAAAAATCTAAGAAATGATAATTAATCATTTAAGTGTAGAATCAAACAGTATTTCTGGACAAAATCTCAAAGTTGTTATAAATGGAAAGCATGCTCACCTTGATCCTGGAATATACACTGATTGTGTAGCCTTAATAACTAACACTGCTTGTTCTTTTTGAAGTTCAAATATTTTTCTTCCTTCCTGATAGCTGCTACCAAATGCTGTACGTGATATTACATCACTAGTAAATGTTTGGAGATGGGGGTAAACATCAACTTCACTCGATCTTTCTTTTGTTAATTCTTCCAATTTGTTGATCATCTCACTACAGCTAACGTAAAAAGCAGGTAACATATGCTACAAATATGAAACATTAATGGAATCAGTGATTTACAACATAGAGTTTGTTGGTATTTTTGGTAACTTAGAAAGAAACATGAATGAACCTTGAGCTTTTCGACATGGAAAGCAGGATTGATTATCTTTCTATGTTTTGCCCATTGATCAGCCTCAACATTTGCTAGCCCTCTTGCTAGAATATTTCTTAATGGATTTCCTCCTCTTTTCTTTAAAAACTGAGAATAATTGGCCAAAATCTCTTGTATTAGTGCCGGTTCTGTGACGTGGACCAAAGGTCGTGGACCCATCCATGTAAAGAAATTCTTTCCTTTACCTATATACAAGTATTAAATCATTACTCTTCCATTCAATAAGAATTAAGAATCAAGAATACATTGAACATAATATCCAACAACTTTGTTACCATAAGTCTTCGCGGAGTTGTACAGAAATGGCATGACACGTGGGACGATATCATCGTTGAGATTTATGGGTTTCGATTTGGCAACAGCGGTCATCTGCACCATCTCTTTTATGTCTCCGTATAGAAATTTGTAGGGAGTTCCGTTCAAACCTTGTTTTCTAAGGAACTTGTCCATCTTTTTCGGCTTCAACCAGATCCAGTTGAAAAATCTCCACCCGTATATCATCACTATCACTCCAACAACACATAGCACTGTGTTGATCATACTAAAACTTAGCTCCATTTCTAGAGGTGGTAGGGCGCTTTTCTTTTACCTAACATGAAGATAGATACACACTCTGTTTATAGGTTCAAGTTATGATACCAAGTGATAGCAGGTGAGTCAAAGAGAAATTGTAATTGATTTTGACTTTTGACTTACGAGTCTTGTTGATGATGAATGAAGGGACTGTATTTATCGATGGATAATGTTTCAATCAAGTCGCTTGTGTTCGAGTTATTATAGTTATGATGCATGTGTTATTGTTTTTCAATAGTCTCCTCTACACGAAAAAGTGAAATTATTTTTACAAATAACTCAATAACATCATTCATTTGTAGTTTGATCAAATTCACTAACATGGATTGTTAACTTATGAATAAAACAATTTGATAATAAACTCCGGAATGACATAACAAAGATATATGTTTTTGATTAAAATTATAAATTAATAAAATAAAATTTCTCATCAAATTAAAACTCATTATTAATTTGTATATTTCATCATCTTCGTGATTTTCAAGTTGTGCTGCCACTTTCATTTATTTTATGGGACATAAAGACTCAAATGAAATGCAGGTGTTAATTTTGGAGAGCAAGTAAGAAAACAAATCTTTTAAGCCAGATATGTAAGTTAATGCAAGTCGAGGTACCATTGTTGTATTTTATTTTTAAGCGTAAACTAAAAATGGAAATTTGTCCCTACCTGTTGGTTTGAGATTGACGTCCAACTTGCTGTACAAGCCTTTTCCTTGCGGTCCACAACTAGTTTACACGTCTATATTTTCTCTTTTCTTTTGAGGTTTTGTTTGTTTTTTCCGAAGTTAAAATGTATATGGTCTACAAACCAAATTTATAACTCTCTGCAGTAGAATATGTTGCAGTAGAATATGTGTATCAAACGCCTGCAAGTTCGTTTGCTTATTAACATCCGTAAGTAAACTATATTTTAAATCAAAATTTATTTCGTTTTAATTATATGCAACTCGAGGCAATTGGGAATAGCCCAACTGGTAGAGGTTTAGCCTCCTAGTATGGGGATGTCAGAGTTCGATCATTGGTGCTAACAAGAATTGGAGTATTAACACTAATATCTAACCGGTCAAGCTGTCGTTCAAAAGAAAATTATATGCAACTCAACTATAAAGATCATTGCGATAATATGATTTTTAAAACATTTATATAAAATAATTAAACATAATAATTGCAAAATAACAATAAATAAAATTATTAAGACAAAAATGCAAAAGTGCTCCCTATAGTATGCATTTTTTCCGAGTTTAGTCCAAACCTTGGTTTTT